TAGGGTTACCTAATATGATTTCTTTATATAAGTCTATAAGTCCTTAAAAAGGTGAGTTAAACTTGGGGTTAAGGTAGGGCTTAGCAGGTGCAGTAGAGTTCCGTACACCCCACTCCAATCATAAGCGCTCCAACGCAGTAGAGAGTCACGCAAAGCCTGAGCAATGTGAGAGCAAGGAGTGTCAAAAGTCAGGCAAATCCTGTCAGAATTGTTTGACGCTTTGCTTACTAACATATTGCCTGCAAGATCTGGAATCGTATCTATCGCAGCAATACAAATACTAGCGAACCATAGTCACCCTGGAAGTTGTCAGAATGACCCTGGCATCATGTCCGATTTGAACGTTAAGCGTGGTAGCCACCATACGAATTAGGTCATGTTCGTGTACGTTTCGAGCCACTTGTACTCAACATGCTAGTACCGGTACTTCAGGCACAAATGTTTAATGAAACGGTTAAGTGTGTCATGGAAACAACACGAAACGACACTGAGATCTGTTCACAATCAACACTACGAAGATGAAAAAGCTGGTTCGGGACTGAGGGTTCGGGGATTCGGAGGCTAGCGTTTACCGTGCTTGTCGCCTGGCACTTGGGGCTTAGAGTTTGGGGTCAAGGTTTCGGCTTTGCACGTGAAGCTGCCATCGCACTGCAACTAAAGAGTTTGCGGTGCATCCCCAATTTTCCCCAAGGCAAGCGGCGGCAAAATCTCAGAAGTGGGACGCTGGGCGGTCCTCACGAGGAGCTCAGGAGAAGTGGACTTGAACGTTGTGCATCTAGCGGCTCCAGGAAACATTCGTAATGCAATTTTTTAATAATAACACATCCTCTGTTATTAGGAGCAGCTTGGGTTGCGCCTGGGAGCATCTAGCCGTGCCAGACACTGCATGCTGCAACTTGGTTTGCTGTCGTCCTCCTTGACTCTTGAATTCAGGGAATGGTTTGGGGTGTGGTGATCTTCAAGCCCGATATGCAGGCTTTACCGCAGCAAGATTATGTAAGGCAGCAGGATTGATATGAGTCAAGAAGAGAAAGGGTTTTGCTTCTGGTTTGAGAATTTCGCGAAAAGATGCGCGCTGCAGCTATGAACCAACTCCAATGTAGTGGCAAGAAAGCAGCACGATTGAATCCGGTGGCAGCAGAGCACCCCTCAGCCTGCACACAAAGCCTGAATTTCAATGAGTGCTGGCTCGGTTTCGCTGTCAGGAGATCCGGGTGAAGGACGGCGTCACACACGAGAATGAGTTGTGCTGAGCATTGCCACAAGTTGTCACAGGGGTGCACTGTACCCTGCGTCCGCTTCGTAGCACTCGTTTCCAAGTTGACTGCGGTCGGATTTCGACGGTTCCTACCAGAGCCAGGGCATGGAAACAAAGAGCTTTGGCATGGGAAGACAGGCGTAGTTCGGGACTTAGGTTGAGGCTTCGGGATGTAGGTTAGCTTCTCTTGGGATGCAGTTCGAAGGCACGTAGCTCGAGCTATCTTCTGCTACGGTAAATGTCGCGTGTTGTGGTAAACCCTGCATGCAGCCTCAACGCAAGGTGCAGCCTAGCACGATTCACCACAGGCCAGCACTTCACACTGCTGCAAGCGAAACCCCGAACCCTAAATCCCCAACTCCCCAACCCTCTATGAATCTATAAACCTCCAAACTCCAAACCCCCTGGCCCTTGGCTCTGAGAGCACCTCTAAGCCCCAAAGTCCCCAACACGAGTCCTGCGGCCTGAACTGTGTTGGGGGACTTCGGGGTGTAGAATGTGGGCCGAGCATCCTGAAGCTGAACCCCAAAGGGGCTTCTGAAAGGTTGCCTGAGAAGAGATTCCGTGATGATGGCGCAGGGTTAGGATGGAGGGCTTGGGGGGGGGGCGTGACGCTTGGAGAATCTGGAAGAACTTACTTGTGCACCTTCGTTGCCTTGGCTCAGGACTGATTAGCGGACGACGCCCCAGACCTCCAAAGTTCCCTTAAAGACCCCGGGCTCAGGACTCTGTTCATCCAAACCCCAAGCCCTTTCTAAGCAGTTTCCCACCGGACCCGATGCATGTTCTGCATGCGCCGCCGTATGGCGTCCAGCGTGCTCCGAGCATGCAGGCTCTCTTTCATCTTCCCTTCAGCTGCACAGCTGAGCATCTTCGGCCCTGAAGCTGTAGACTCCGTAAACCAGAGGGCTGCATATGAGTAATTAGTGCTGGGATTCCATAAGATTTCCGTATTTCTTTCAGCTCCAAGGATCCTTGTGTCCTTGTGGCTTGCAAGCCATCGGTCGATTCCTTCTCCTGCCCCTCAGCTTTGCAGAAAAATCGGCTGGAGATCAGAAAGTTGATCCAGAGCCCCACTCAGCACTCGTAATCTTCGTGCACTCGGCTTAGCGAAACGAAAGGCACTTGCAAGAATGTAAGAACAACATGACTTGGTACTGTTTCCACCGGTGTGGATGGGTTAAGCGGCTGCGCAGAGGTGTAGGTGCCGGTGCAGGTGCAAGTGCAGGTGTAGGAGTAGGGGAAGGGGTATACGGGTGGGGGTCGGCATCGTTGTGGGGGTCGGGGTGGGGGTGTGGGTGAGGGGTGTGGGTACGGTTGTGGGTGTGAGTGTGGGTGTGGGGTGTGAGTGTGTGGGTGCGGGTGCAGGCGCAGGTGTGGGTGCGGGTGCGGGTTTGGGTGCCGGTGTGGCTGCGGCTGGGGGTGTCGGTGTAGGTGTAGGTAGAGGTGTGTGTTTGTCTGTCTGTGTGTGAGTGTGTGTGTGTGTGTTTGTGTTTGGGCATGTGTCGTGTAACCTCCATGTAGTCCACCACGGCATCAGAGATAACATGCACGCAGTCGTAGGCGACTTCATCCTTGGCTGCTCTTTTGGCGTTGAAACAAGTCCGTTTCAAAAACAAGACAAGCCCCCAAGCACCGAGTCTTCAAACGCGAAACGCCACTAACCTCCATGGAGGCGTGGAATTTTCGCACAGAGAGATGGTTTTCAGAAGTCACCGAGATGCCTGCCGGCACACACCTCAGAGCTGTGGCTTGGATTGTTGGTTGATCGGATTTGCGGTGTTTGTTTTGGGGTTCTGCCTTTTTGCGATGGCTTGCATTGTATTGCAACAAGAGATGCCACGACTGCACCTGCAGCCACTAAGGTTCCGGCGTGTTCACTGTCTCACTCTCGATGAGCATATTTTCTCAGTATCGTGCTGCGATTGTTCTTCTTCCTTGTGCTAGGCTAATCCTCTTGAAATATCATGCTTTCAACCTGTTACTACAGTCGTTACTAGTATGCTTATGCTGGTGTGCATGCATGACGGCAAGTGCTACAAACCTTATGTTTACCAACTCGCATTGCTCTTTGATGTTGAATGTACGGTCACGACGACGATGTCACCGACTGATTGCACTCGAATCTATAAGTACCACAACTCCAGCTCCAGCATCAGCTGCGGCACAGCAGCACCAGCGCCGGCGCCAGCACCACCACCACCACCCCACCAGCACCGCCGAATCCCAAGCATTCTTCACGAAGCCGGAATCCGTAGACCTGCGCACCGTCAAATCTCATTATTACTATTATTATCATCATTTTGTTATTGGTATTATTACTATTGCTGCTAATGTGACTATGACTATGATTATGGTTCTTAAGAGCTTCAGCCAGGCAGGAGCTACATGCCCACCGGATCGCGAATCGAGGCGGGTCTTCTACTTGGAGTTTCACTTCAGGTGGGCGCGGGAATGTTTTCGGCAGGTTGTAGGGTTTTAATATAGGGGCCTAAATTCACTAATTACCAATACTATATATTTTGGGGGTTCCTTACTATAATGGGTTCCAAAACCCTATTCTAATTGTCCAGGCTCATGAAGTCCCTTTTTAGAGGATTGCTGTTTCAAGGTCTTGGGTCTCAAGTCCTGCGGGCTTTTCAAACTCGGAGTGGCGGTGGGGGTCGGTGCACGACTTTTAATTCATTGTTTAGGTGGGCGGATAGTGTAGAACTATGTATGTGGTCTGTAAGATCCGTGCTAGTCAAGAACATGGACCTCTTTGCATTCTACCTTTCGCAGAGTCCTATCACTTGCACGGTAGTGCTATTCATCGTTGCAACACAGACAGGCAATCGCTTGAATTGACAGCACTGTCTTATAGGTGCAGTCCTGGGAGTGATCTGAAAGCCGGGAAGCTGGCAATAGTATCCCAAGTACGGCGTAAATATGCCTTAGTATACCCCAGAGCCCTGTTCTAGTTATCTAGACTTTTGTGGTAGACAGAAGTGTCGGTGCTTGACCACCGCTCGGAATCGGCCGCAGTACTAGCGGCACACCTATGGCCACATGCATAGAGAATAAGAAGCTCGTTTACAACAGAAAGCCAAGCCGAAGATGTCCTTGTCTCCTCTCTCTGACCCGGTATACCTGGAGCATATATGTCATAGGAGTGCGTCATTGGCATGTTCGTGCAGCCCTAAGCACATCAAGTACCCGCACGACCCCCAGGAGCTCATCTAATTGCCAAACCTGCGCATACGGGAGCGGATGTAAGGCACGACCGCTAAAAGCCCGTAACTCTAACCCTCAGAACAAGTAATCCCTCGACAACGAGTAATCTTCTGAAACCTGCAAGCACTCTGGGCCAACCACGTTTCAGATGGAGGTCATGCCAAACTGCTCATAAATTTCAAGCTGGGATTAATCCTGTGGCTCGACGCATGACAGTTGATTTCCTGGCTGAAAGTGCAAAGTACCCATCCAGCATCATTTGCTTGCAGGCGGAACCTGCATCCAACTATCAGTTGCAGATATTTTCGCTGCATGCGCAGAACACCTGAAGCCCTAGCACACCTTGCCTACTGTACACGACAGGAGGTTTTCTCAGCATATACTGCCACAGCCGCATGCTCCTGATAACTGTAGCAGAACGATCAGCTCTGCCCATTTCCCCTCCACCAGTAGCCAAATGTCACTACTGTCACTACCATGATTCTGTCACCAATATTGATATACTAGTCTCTCTGCTTCGGCATAAGCCATGACGGCGACAATGGCCGACGAGCCCACAGCCTTTGCAGAAGGGGAGGAGCCGGATGTGCCTCAGAACAATGACTTGAACCTGAATAACTGAAACTAAGGAATATAGTATGAGTATCAAAGTCCTATATTATATAGCGAAAGAACTGTGAATTTTGGTTGGGCAGGTTGGGAGTTGCTGCAATCCACTACGCATTTCGTTAAGGGTTGCCTATCTTGGGATGAGGAGGAGGAGGAGGAGGAGGAGGTGGAGCAGGAGCAGCAGCAGTAGGAGTAGTAAAAGTGGTCGTCACCGCCGCGAACCTCGTCTTACTGAACATTCCTAGAAGCCCTAAGCCGCCTTAGCCCCGACCTTGGTTGAATCTAGGTCTTCGTGGAGGGACCTTAATGCCCAAGCCTCTTGAGCCGGAAGTAGAGCCAGCTGGGTCTTCAAGATGCTGAGCAGCTGCCGGTACATATGTGCGGTACATAAGATACTCTTGAAGATACCCACGCCTCCCCACAACCCGAATGTCTATGAGCCCATAAGACGCAGAAACCTCAAATCCCTTCAGTCCGTATAAGAAAAAGAAGACATTCAGCATCGAGGTCGATTTTGGAGAAAGACTTTGGGTTTCGAGGTTTGACTGACTTCTGTTGCAGAATGTGAGGATTTTAACGGATCCGGTTTGGAGTGCTTTAGGGTGCAGAGCTTGAGACGTTGGCGTGCCCACCGTGGTAGTTACTTAGGGTTCCCAGGGCTTTGGGTTTGGCGCTATAGTATTGTGGAACTAATCAAAACTGGGAGTTCCTGGTGTCGAGTCCTCATAATTTGAGTGCCACTGTTCCGTTTCTGCATCGTCTATAGAACTCGCCGGGGGACACTGGCACTCCAAAATCCGGGACCTTGCGAAGAACAGCGGAAAACACTCAACGCCCTATACTATACATCACAGTTTAAGAACCATTATGAACCCTAAACCCTTAAACCCTGAGCTGTCCCAAACCCGAAACCCATGACATTCCAGATCCTGAGACGTAATCCTTCAACCCTAATATAGGAGGAGAAGAACAACTACGATTGCTACTTCTTACGGTTACTTAGCTATCTTAAATTCTACTATACCAACTCCGCCGACCCTGTTGCATGTATGAAGGCCGCTATATCAAACCCAAGAGCACCGAAGCTCAGGTGCATCGAACGCTGGCCGATGCGGGCGAAGCAGCCGGCATTGCTGAAGTGCAAGCCGGTGGAGGCCAGCATTTCATATGAGGGCTTGAAGGGTCAATCGTATAATGCATATGTATACATATAGATATATATATATATATATATATTATATAGATACATACCCCAAACCCTTATTCTAATCATGATCCAGGCCCCGAATTCAAAGGGAGGTCAAGGATGAACCCTTGCCTTCAAAATCAAGCCCAACCCCTGAAGCCACAGCATCGAGGCTCACATTCCATTCACAGATCCAAGCCCTAAAGCATGAAAGGCTTAAGGTTTAGGCTTTAGGGCATAGGCCTTAAAGCTTGGGAGTTTAGGGTCTTGACCTGCAGGCCTGCAATCTGTTCACGCAAAGTGTGCCGTGAGAAGTTAAGGCACCGACTACCGGATGCTTATGCTTGAAAGAGGCTGACAGATCATCTGATGAACATCTACATTCAATCCTACACTTATTTTCAGAATCTGTATATATCTGGTTTCATCAAGGGTGTTGGAAGGGGTGCTATAAGAGGTAGGGGTGTTATCAAGGTGTCTTGGGGGTCGTATCAGGCTTGATAAGGTTTCATACATCTTTCTAGCGGTTTGATACAGGTTTGATCGGGTTTTAAAGACGTTTTAGGTTTCTTTTTTATAAGGTGTCTTACAGATGCTTTATACGTTTTAGGGTATTATGGGGTGTTTTACAGCTTTATGGTGTTTTATACGTGAGGACTTGAGTGAATTTTCGACAGGTCAAGTGAGTGCTGCTGAAGCGGCCTCGAGAGCGGTGGCCGCGTGTGCTGCAAAGGTTTACAGGCTAAAGCTGCGTTTAGGGCCCGGGGTTTGGGGTTGAGGATTTTTGGATTTTGGGACTTTAGGGTTTGGGGATTGTGAGGTTTCGGGATTTAGGGGCTTAGAGTCTTAGAGGGTTGGGTCTACCAGCATGTGTAAGCCTGAAGACAAGCCAGAACCGAAGCAACATCAATAGCTCACTGTCATCCTTGCAATGGCCATCATCGTCATTACCATTCTCATGATGAGCACCTTCATCGTTGTAACCGCCGCCTGCAACAGCAACAGAACAGAAAACTACCAACAGCAGCGCCAGGAACGGGAGCAAGAAAGCATTCCCCCAACTCAAGACAGACATGCACAAAAGTATTCACCGACAAACAGTCGAGCCTGCAAGACAACGACCAGCAAGGCGACGGCGACTGCCGAAGCCTTATGGTTTAGGGTTTAGGACCACCACCACCATCATCACCAGTAACACCACCGCTGCGACAACAACAACTACTACGGCAAAGACGGCCATTTTGCTGGCGGGCTTCATGAAGGTAGCAGCTTTTGGCATTCAATCCGTCCCACTGCATCGTAGATCGGAGAAGCCGGCCCGCATCCGAGCCCCAAACCCTGAACGATATAATATAGGGGCCTAAATAATTACCGTATACTATTGTGGGGGTATAGTATAGTTATAGTATCCCCTATTTAATTATTAAGGCCCCCAAATTAACCTCAAGGATTCTAGGCTTGTACTTAAACCTCGGAAGCTGCTTGACGCGGTGGTTGGACCAGTGCGCTGGAATATTCCCTTGGCGTCCATATCTACTTTATACTGATGGCTCAAAATACACCTTCTTCCGACTATAAGAAGGTTCCCAATATCCCAAATAAACCCTAAACCCTAAACCGTTTTAAGTATCCCTATATCTATCCGACCTATATGGGAGTTTCCGAAAATTAGGGGGTGGGGTCATTCTAATGAGGCTCTTATGATTAATTACCTCCAAGCAGAGGTACAAGGATCCCTATACCCCAAACCCTAAGTCATGCAGAAGGAAAAGAGGCGACAACACAAAAACAACAAAAATCTAAGCCGTTACAAGGATCCCTGTATCTATCCGAGACAGCCCAGATCAAAGCAGCCGAAGACCAGGGAGTGCTTCTCCATGAGCTGCCAGAGCATCTCGGCTTTACCATAAAGGGGGCTAAAGAATCACCTACGGTTCCTAGGGTTCCTGTTAAAGGGGCCTATAAGGATTACTATAAGGGGCATTATGGTGGTGAGTAGGCTTTAATATGGGCGGGGCTTTAAAAAGGTAGAAAAGGGTTCCTTTAAAGGGGTCTATCGGGGCTAGTATAAGGGCTATTGTAGGGGTTTAGTATAGGGGCCTGAAAATAATTTCCTGCACTATTTTTTGGGGGTTTCCTTCTTATAACTATAGTATAATGGGCCCCTAAACCCTATTCTACTTATAAGGGCCCCTATATTGGGCTTTGGGTTTAGGGTTGCGCTTCCTCGGATTCTTTGATGACCTGTCAAAGCCAGTCATTAAAGTTGATTCACGAGAACATACCCTGTAAACCATGTCAAGCCCATGCACCTCACAATAAACGTGATAAGCCCTCAACCCGATTAAATTACTTGATAGCTGTGGAGGCCTGAACCCTAATATAGGGTCTTAATAATTACCCATGCTATCTTGGGGTTCTTTATTTATAGCTATAATATACTGTATCCCAAATTCCTAGTCTTTTTGTTACGGCCCCCATATTATAGATCCCTTAGAGCACGCTTATAGACTCCTCTAAAGGAGCCCTAGTCTAATAATTAAGGCCCCTACATTACAGCTCTCCTGGCCTCGAAGATCGAAGTTCCTTGCGCCGAGGGTCGTCGCCCTTGCTGCCTCCCGTGCGGCGATGCACGCGATCACGGTGGAGGTGGAGATTTGGGTTTAGGAAAAGGGGTCTATAAGGGTTACTATAAGGGCTATTCTAAGGGTTTAGCATTAGGTGCCTAAACAATTACTCGTACTATTTTGGGGGTTCCTTATAACTATAGCATAAGGGGCCCCCAAACCCTCTTCTAATGTTAAAGGCCCGTATATTGGGGTTTAGGGGCAGGGGCGAAGACTCAGCGGTCTTCAGGTCCTATGGCTCTGGCGGTTCCATGGAGCCACGGCTTCAGAAAAACACTCTGACATGATAATGACGATGGTCTGCGCAAGACCCATTTAATATCCGTACTACATGCTTGCACCATGTTGATCTTATAGTTCGACCCGCAGATGCCCTAGCGGGGCATCGTCGTGGGATGTACCTTATGGTCCTGTAGGGAAGCTTTCCCCAAAAAAAAGAAGTGCCTTTGCGACAAACACTGATAGAGGCTGTCGGAACAATTACCAACGCGAGTCCTTAGGGTCTCTCTTGTTAAGGCGTAGTAGGCGCATAGATTAGATTTCTTAGATCACCCAAGCCAAGCACGGTGTCCGGAAGACTACGTCAAGGGTAACGATGACTCTAGCTATTCATAACCCCAACTACAAGTACTCACTTGCTAAGTCCCCTGATCCTCCAAGAAGCCGAAAAAAGGGACCCAGCAGACATTCCAGTCTCTGCATGCCAGGACCCCACCGTAACGATATCCGAGATCGCCCGGGGCTAATCTTACGGACGGTGTTGCATCAGCCTGCTTGCACTTGCGTCGGCCACTTTCGGCGCCCTTTTGTTGCTGAAGCCGTTCGATTTTTTTTGGTACAGAGTCCACGCTTAACCGGATTTTAGCCAGTTTGTTTGGCCTCTGATTAGTGGTTTGGCAAGGCTTAGCCCAGCTTACCGGAAAAGATTGCAACCCAGAGTTTGGCTGTTCTGTCCAGCGCTCTGGCCTGCTGTAGCATGCGTCGTACAGAGCAGCTCCTTGAATCCGAGGCTCTTGGGTCCTTTTTTCTTGGTCTGTTTCACTGTTGGGCTATGCTTTCTTTTACAGGCACATGAAGAAAGACATGGCATTTTGAGGCTTTGCGCCAATCCGCGTCGGGTTAGGGTGCGGGCGGCTCACGTCCAAAACCTTCGATAAAGTGTTCATGCCTTTGGTGGTGGGGACTTGGGCTGGCCCAGAGAAGGTGCACATAACATGTTCATTACTGTGGTTTTCTGTCCTTTGTATATGTGCTTAGGCTGGTTTATGTACTTGCCTTTCCCTTCACACGTTTTGAGGTACACATTTCTCCTCCCTGCCGACCGAATCCTGCAAAACTCTATGTAAGTTATAAGCCCTGAACCCTAGGCCCAAACCGAAAACGCCAAATCCTGAAGCCCTTACCCTAATATAGGGGCCTAAATAATTACCTTAAAAATTATTCTGGGGGCTCCTTATAAAGGTTACAGTACAATGGTCCCCAAAGCCCTTTTCTAACTATTGAGGCCCCTACATTAAACCGACAGGAGCCCCCCTTTTAGCTCGAGGCCAGATGTTTGAGCCCTGAGTCTCTCCAGCAGCTGAAGGCCAGTCATGCTTGCTATGGTACTAGAAGGGTACTAAAAGGGTTTAGTATAGGGCCTTAATGATTCGAATAGGATTTTGGGGCCCATTGCACCACAATGAGATTCTAAAGGTATGGTAACCAGAAGGGTTTAGGGTCTAGGGTACCGTACCATACCATACCATACCATGCGTATTGCATTTAGATGTCATCAGGCTTGAATGTCCTGGGTTTTGAGGGCTTTTGGGAGTTGTAGGGTTTCGGTTTGTTAAGGGTTTCAGGGTTTGGTATCTTTCAGGTTCGATAGGGATTACGGCTAGTTCAAGCGCATTTAAAGTTTAAAGCTTTCGAGGTCCCACAGCCTAATGAGAAGGGTCTGATTCCGCTCCCTGCGTCATGCTAATCTGCTACAGGACGGAGGTGCAGTGTGACGTATGCTGGGGTCAATGTTGAGCCGGCAATCCGACAGACAAGGTAAGAGTATTGCAAAGATGCTAGAGAAAGCACTATGAGGTTGCCCTGTGCATGTGGGACCCCCTCGCAACCGTGCGATACAAGGGCACTGCAAGGGTTCACATTTTTTTTGTTGTTGGTATGGTTGGTGCTTCGAGCAGGCAGAGACCCGACGGCGGACAGAGCGCTGCATGGCCGAGAGGGAGATGGAGGGGACCGCGTTGTTCACGACACAGAGTTTCAGTTTGATTTTGGGATGATATCCACTCGTTGGGTTTCAGGAGTTTCACGCCATGTGCTTTACTGGCGGGTAAGTCCTGGGATTGTGCGTGTCCCCCCCGGGATGCTGCGACGTTGAGCCGTCGAGGCAACAACAAAATCTCTCCTGGTGAGCTCAAGACGCATCTCAGATGCAGTTGATCTTCTGGATGCCGGTGTTTTTGGGCCTGCCCCGATTGATTCTTACATGGGCTGGTGCAGGTAGATTCGTCGTTACCTGGAGCTGTCCGCCCTTCTCGGCCCCAGTGTGCTACTGCGTTCCCTTTTGATAATACGGCGAGTGTGAAGCTATTTGGGGCGCCCATTGTTTTGCTCTGGTTCTTGTGTAGCCTTCTTTATGCAGCCTTGCCAAGCGAAGCAGATGGTTCCGTTCGATGTCCTTCACCTCTGCCTTTGCACCCTGCCATGTGGGGCCACCGCTGAATGCTGAATCCTAAGCCCTGTACATCCTACAACCCGCGAACTGCCAGCAACATACAAGCACCACCACTCACGCTTCCAAGTAAGTCAAAGATCCAAGAACCTTTAAGCCCTAAACCCACCCAAAACCCCTAAACCCTAAACCACTAAAGCCCTAAACCCTAAATCCTACAACATCCACACCCAAGACCTTAAATTCCTAAACCCTAAACCCCTAAACCAAAGCTTCCTAAACGTCCAAACTCTACGAAATGCAAGGATCTTTCGGAAGATCGGTCTCGACCTGAATGACGATGCCTGGCCTCAGGTGCCTAACTCCCCTGAGGGGATGGCTCGGAGCTTGCTGCTTGGGGTACTATCCGGGGACCCTGAAGAGTTAGAGTAGGGTTCCTTCAAAGGGGTCTATAGGGGTTGGTATATGGATCCATAAGGGTGATATAAAATCGGGGCCTGAAGAATTAGACTAGGCTTCCTGCAAAGGGGCTACTACTATAAGGGCAACAAAAAGGTCAATTACTACTATAAGGGCTACGGATTTAGTATAGGGGCGTTAACAGTCACCTACTACACTATTTTGGTGGTTCTTTATGATAATTATAGTAGAATGGGCTCCAAAACCCTAGACCCCTCTAGTATGGGAGTTCGGGGCTTCCAGGCGTAGGGTGCAAGGGCGTCTTAGGGTTGACATGTTTAGGGCTTTGGGGGGGGGGGCCTTGTGGCTTCGGAGTTCGGGGCTTCGAGTTTTTGGGGGTTTAGTGCGGGGAGGTCTTCGGGCTTAGGATGTGTATGGTGTTATGGGCTATTCTTTAGGAGTTCAGGGCCCTGGGGGTTGTGGGGTTCAGGGTTTAGGAGTTTAGGATCCGAGCTGATAGGGGTCCTAGGGCTGAACGTCTCTACCCTCACGACGACAGCTGCACCTCTTTTTCCGCAACTCTGGCCACTTTTTCGCTGCATTTTGGGCTCCAAAGCCTAGCTCAAAGGGTGCCGGGGAGCTCCTGAGCCCCGGACCTCTGGGCAGGCGGGGAGCTTTCGCCTTGAAAAACTACGGCGGGGCGCTCGTGGGATTTAGGCCCGTTTAGGCTGTGGGGTTCTGGGGTGAAGAGTCGGCAAGAATGTGCCGGGTTCTAGGGTGAATAGTCAGCCAATGCTGGAAGATACCCCAAAGCCCGGTTCGATTATTCATGCCCCTATAGCAGCGTTTTGCGATTGCGGACATCTTGCTGCCATAGTATTCTATAGTTAGCAGCAGTGTTTCCGTTTTTGGGATGTTGAGGTCAAGGAGGTTTTAGGCTTCAGGGCTTGGGGCTTCAGTCCTCGATGTGCTCCTGCTTCCGGTTAGGGCATCAGCGCAGAGCAGAGGGGTTTGGCGGGCTCATGGCTGCAGCCTGAGATTCGGAGGCCGATGGAAAGCAAGGAGGACGATGATCCATCGAAGATCGCGGATCAGACCAAGGTGGTGGCCCTGTATGTGCCTTGCTAGCACATGGCACAGAGCGAGACCCTGGGCCCAAGGCTCCCTCAGAAGCCCAAAAGACACGAAGAGAACGGAACCCAAAGTAAAACACTTGGCATCATCCACAGAGCCACCAAAGGCAGAAGCAAGTCAGTGAGGAAACCATCCAACTTTCAATGCTCTAAGACCAAAGGAACTCTCCCCAAAAGGACTTTCTCTCGTCCTTCCCCTTGTGGGGAGATTCCGAGAAAAAAACGGGACCCTACTATAGCACCCTAAGTAGTAGCATCTTGATAAATAAGGTATCCCTATTTTTCGGGGAAACTCACTGTTCCCTTCAAGGACTTCGATCCCTCGAAGATCGACTGGCCCTTCAATCGCCAGAAGCCCCTGGCCCTGAGCACCGGTCAAGTTGTGGAGCCCCTTGGCCGACCTGAGTTTCTTTTGGGGGGGTTTAGTTTAGAATAGGGTGCCTTTAAAGGGTCCCTCTAAAAGGGATCTATAAGGGCTACCATAAGGGTACGATCAATGATATAGGGGCCTTAACCATTCGAAGAGGGTTTGGTGGTATGCATTATACTAAAACTAGAACTTATAAGAAGGAACCCCAAAGCCCTATTATAACTATTGCGGCCCCTACATTAGGTCTTGAGGGTTCAGGGCTTTAAGCGCTTTCAGCGCTTAGGCCTTGAGGCTTTCAAGGCTTTCGATTCACAGATTCGGGCTTAGTGTGCTGAAGCAAAACCTGTTGGAGGAAAGATCCCTGTACAAACGGTAAGGGCTGGGTCTGACTCTGTGGCTTTTGGAGCCTCAAACTCTATGAATTAATATTAGGTGCAAGCGAGCAGATATGCAAGGCGGTGCAAAACATACTGTCTTGCAGATTCCAGGGAACAGCTCAGCCCCATGCCATCATCCCAGGATCTTAGGCTACCTGGCCTTGAGCCCTGCGCTCTACACTAAACCATGAGCTGCAGGTACCCCCCAATTTTTGGAAGCTCTATAAACCCTTATAGAGCCCTTTAAATGAACCCTTATGGTAACCCTTTAAATGAACCCTTATAGTAACCCTTTAAAGGAACCCTTATAGTAACCCTCTAAAGGAACCCTAAAGGCCCCCAAATCTCGGGCCGTCAGCTGCGAAACTCGCAGCCATCAAGCCGCAAGCGCCTACAAATGTAAGTCCTGAACCACTGGTTCAAGCACGAGACTTCTTGCAAAGTGGTGTCACCCCTGAGCTTTTGTTGTGTTTTCGATGTGTTTTGCAAGTCTTACTTGTTGCTACCCTCGCCCTCCATAGCCATAAGACGATAGCTTAGCCACCGCTCACCTGTCCGCGCCAGGATCGTCCACGATGATGGCTCGGAGTGGGCACTTGGCCATCTCAAGGGAGTTCCTGAAACCCTTGGCTACTTTCCGAAGACACTTGGCTGGCCTAGAAACGCGGAAGCAAGCTCCGGGGCATAAGCCGGACTGCCAGAAATGCTTTTCACTGTACACGGTCAAAGATGCTCTATTTGATTCCGTGATTCTCTACCTCGATACCATGACAGTCGATATGCCCAGTGGTAGTTAGATTTCCTTGTCACGAAGTTACTGTTAAGGCAACCGTCTAGAGTGGGCCGGATAGTTTGTAGCGTGATCGGAGGACTAAACCGATAGAATTCGACTGTTGGTTGATGTTTTGGGTAGTCTGACTGAGGAATTACACGGTCTCCGTGGGAGAGTACCAAGAGATGATGAGGGACTTCGAGAACCAGGAGCAGCATCATGGCGATGATGAGGCCAGCAGCCGGGAAAAGAAATCTCTTGCTTGAAAGACGTAAACTCTAAGCCCGAAATCTTAAGCTTAGATAGTGAACGGGGGAACTTTAAAATTGCTGGCCTTATATATTAGCTCTATCTTAGAAAGTTTGATTTTTATTGGACCCGGTCGTTGAACAAGAGAGTAATCTCCCCTCCAAAACGGCACTTCTAAATCCTACATCTCAATTCGTTTAGCACCCATCTGACAATCCCGTTGCCTTACACCCCAAACCGCCCAAACCTTTGAGCCCCAAGGCCCGGGCCTGAGACATGGAAACAGCGCGTAATAACAGGCCGAAGACCTAGGGGTGGAGTAGGCAACCGTTAACCTTTTTTGGGTAGGATAGTCCCTATATAATCCCGAAATAACCAACAAGGTTAACCTTTAGTTCCCCATGATACCCGCCCAAGAGTTGGGAACCGAAGAATAGCCTCTATCCTTAAGAGTAATCTATAGACTATAGAGAATCCCAGCACTATTTGGCCTTAACCCGGTTTCCAACACACTGTAGCGTAACCCATGTACTTTCAACAGAGGGAGATGACCCTAAAAATTGGCACATTTACCTTTCTGAGGAACCTTGGTTACTCTAGGTTCGAGTGTTTAAGGCCCCTAAATTATGCTGGTGTTTAACTATTTTAGTCTAGGCGGTGCCTTTTGCTGTCGTATGTATCTGTACTTGCAATAGTGTCAGTATTGGTTTGTACATAGTAGGCGTAGTTCTTACACCACGATTCTGATTTTCTTCGAGAATAAAAGTCTTTCTGTGCTGCAGAGTCTTCACCGCTTTCCGAAGACATCACCCGCAAATCCATGCCAAAAAGGAATCCAAGATTCGGAAGCCGACTAGACATGTGGCCCTCAAGCCGTATGAGAGCCGGAAGCCCAATGCCCAAAGCTGAAGCAAGCCCCTTAAACCTAAACCCCGATAAGCACTACACCCTAAACCCCTAAACCCAAAAAAAACCCTGCACCCGTAAACCCCTGAGCCCCCAAAACCCCTAAACACTAAACCCTCAGCCGTAAACCGCCAAAGCCGGAAACCGCAAGCGCCAAAACCCTAGACCCCTAACCCCTAAACCCATAAAGCCCTAAACCTCTAAACCCTGACCCCCGAAAACCCGTAAACCCCTGGAACCCTAAAACCCCTAAACCCCTGGAGGTGGAAGAAGAACCCGGCCCTCCAGCTACACGAGCCATCCCAGCCGGTCCCCTTCCTGCACCGCTGGTAGAGCAACAGGCCGCGCTCAGGGTTCAGGGGTTTAGGGGGGAGGGAGATGGGGAGAGGGAGAGGGAGAGAGGGCCAGAGGGAGAGGCAGAGGGAGAAACGGAGTTTTAGGGTTTGGGGTTCAGGGTTTGGGGGTTTAGGGTTCAGGGGGCTTCAGGGCGCTACGCACTCATGGTTTTGAGGTTTGTGCTATCGGGCTTAGGGTGCTGTTACCGTCGCTTCCCTGTATGTAGATAGGGCCGTTTCGGCGTATTTTCGCGCGACGGGCTTGTCGAGTGTAGTTGCGTTTGGAGTGTCGGACATTTCCTGCGTTTCCGGTTGCGGCTGTGCTGCATCTGTGCCACGGCCTTCACCCTTTGCTTGAACAAAACTGCTTCATCACCTCTACAGCTGCTACCATCAAGGAGAGCCCTCCACATCCCAGCCCCTAAACCCGAAACCCAAAACCCAAATCCCTAAACCCTAATAGCAGTATCAGAAGCGATGTCCCTCCCATGTTGGCGACCTGTCAGGCCCAGGTCTACTATGACGAAATGAAGGACAAACCCAAACAAGGCCGGCGGATGTTTGACCACTTGGATTTGCATCCCTCTCATTATATTGTATTATGGTTATGTTTTATGATAGTCTATTTTACTATGTTACTATATAGTATCGTATATATTTATATGTCATTAATTATTTATATGTCATATCTAGCTGTAGCAGCGGGCTGCTCTCAGTCTGGGAGCCCAGATCCCCACTCCATATATGCTGAATCCTACGCATCCCCGGACCTACAACCCGAAGCCCTGAACTAAGCACAAGTCGACATCTTGA